ACAGCCAAAGTTTAGCTTTCAGTCTCCCCTGTCTAAATCTACTGACTCTCCACAGCCGAACTTTAGCTTTCAGTCTCTCCTGTCCATAACTGCTGATCCTCCGCAGCTGAAGTTTAGCTTTCAGTGTCTCCTGTTCAAAACTGCTGACTCTCCACAGCCGAAGTTTAGCACAAAAGTATGTTTATTTTTAAAACTAACAAACTAAATGCGTAATAATTGTTTTGTTTTTATTAAAAAGTCAAGTTTAGTTTGTTTTTGTTGATTTATTTTTTCACATTTCGCCCTCGTATTTAGCCGTTTGAATCTGGCTCATTTGTTGTTTTTTTCCCTCAGAACCAGGCGTCGGCCCACTACAAGGGCACCAAACACGCCAAGAAGCTAAAATCCCTGGAAACCCCGAAGAGTAAGCTGAAAGGCTCAACGGGCGCCAAGGAAACGGCCAATCAGGAGACGGCCAAGGGCGTCAACACGTCGCACATCCCCAACGGCACCAACGGGAAAGGTCTGTTTTTCTTCTTCTCTCAACTTGTCCACTTTCTTCTTAGTTGTGTCTTTGGTGCTTTAAGTGTTATGTATGTTTGTATACATATGTATATGTAAGCTGATGCACCCCTATACCATCAGAGAGGCTGGCCTCTGAACTGGGTCACTGATATCAGCCTGAATGGTTCTTCTTTTTAATGTGATTCAAATTTCCAGAAAAAGTTTCAGATTTGGATCCGTCTGACCTCAGAACGGTTCTTCCATTTTGCCTCGGCCTGTTTTGAATGAGCTTTTATTGCGCGATAGAGCTTTAAGCAGCATTTGTGGATGACACGGTGAACTGTGTTTGCAGAGAGTGATCTGTAGAGTCCAGAACCAGAAGCTTTTTTATTGCCTGAGGGCCCAAAAGTCACGACCACACCATCCAGTATAGACTTTCAACCTTAGGGCTCAGATTATTTAATCCGTTGATGAGATTATGAGCATTCAGATTCAACATATTTCCAGTTTTAGACATTTTAGACAGATTTTAGACCCATCTTTACTTCCAAACATGCTCTTTGTAATGCATTTTGTGCTTCTGGGCTGTTTTTGATGACATGTTGCTGCCATAAAATTTAAAATGATCTTAGTTTTTTCTAAAACATACGTCTCAGTGGCTTATTTAATATGTTTTCTGTGTTTGTGAATATCATCAGATTATAAACTTCCTCCTTAACAGCTCTGACCTTGGGAACACTCCATACAGAATAATCAAAACACACCTTTATCCAAAACCTGTAATAACCAAACAGATAATTAGCTATTAATCATTTCAGTAACGTAAAAAAAAAAGAAAAGGTTTCTTGCTGCCGTTTCTGCGGCACATGTGGGTGTCGGTTTGTCCCGAGCAGGTAATGAATATTAATGTGCTCACATGTCAGTAAAATTAATTGTCAAGGCGGATTAATGCTGCAATATCCGTACGGTTGATGTGTTTGATGGAACATCAGGGGCCCGCTGCTCGTTTAAATC